GGGGGGTTGGAAAACTATCTCTCAAATTTTTTCAGATTTTTTCGGCAGCCCAGTTCGGAGATATGATTGTTTTTACATTTTCCCGTTTGTCGAAAATTCGTTATGAGTATCTAAAGATCGAAAAAAAATTTACTGGAAATATTCTTATAAGCAGTAAAAAATGAAAAATTTTGACGCTTAACAAATCAAAATTGGATGGATAGCAATTGTATCTTTAAACGGGGCTGCCGAAAAAATCTGAAAAAATTTGAGTTTTTCAACCCCCTCAATCGTAAAAAAAATCGTCATTAATTTCCAAGAGGGTCATTGGTTGACTCATTTGACGTGGAATACCTGGCTGTTTTGCACACCTACACATTTTCAGATGTGCACACTCCTGTCTTACACATCCGATTCTACACCCTCTCCATCTACACATACTCATTACTCATTCTACACACACGCACTGTTTTTCTACACACGATGTCCTACACATAGCAGAACTACACATGAATATATTTCACATGCTTATCTACACTCATCCTAGTCGCATCGACCCATCCACGAATCACACACTTATCAGTTACACTGCGTCTTTCGCACAGCTTCAATTTATACGTAATTTTTAGTGCTGAAATGAACAACACGTGTATAGTTCATTTTTACACACGTGGATGGCGATTTCATACGTGTGAGTTAATTTTCAACATGCGTAAGTTGATTTTATACGTGTGTAACTCAATTTTACGTGTGAAAAATTGAGCTACACACGTGTGAAATTGAGTTACACACGTGTAAAATCGACTTACACATGTGTAAAATTGATTCACACACGTATGAAATCGCCGTCCACATGTGTAAATAGTATATTTCGTGGGAGGTTTATAGCACGAGCCGAAGGCGAGTGATATAATCCCACGAGTCTAAAAACACTTTTCCCGCGAGTATCGAACTCTATTTTTCATCACAATGTGTGGGAAGGGGGTTTTGCGCACGCGGAGCGTGCGTAAAATGTCACTTTACACACATCGTGATGAAAAATGAACTATACACGTGTTGTTCATTTCAGCACTAAAAATTACGTGTAAATTGACGCTGTGCGAAATACGCAGTGTAACTGATAAGTATGTGATTCGTGAATGTCTCGGTGTGACTAGGATGAGTGTAGATAAGCATGTGAAATATGTTCATGTGTAGTTCTGCTATGTGTAGAACATCGTGTGTAGAAAAACCATGCGTGTGTGTAGAACGAGCAATGAGTATTCGTAGATGGAGAGGGTGTAGAATCAGATGTGTAAGACAGGAGTGTGCACATCTGAAAATGTGTAGGTGTGAAAAACAGCCGAATACCTCATTTATTTTGAAAGAACTAGATAAGAGACATCAAGATGAATATTTAAAAAAAAAATGAAATCGGATGAATAGTTTTTGAGATATTGAACAATATAGTTTTATGCAAAAAATTGAATATCTTTAAAATTACTCATTCGATTTCGCCCATCTGAAATCTCAGCCTGTAATGGGCGCGTTTCGCAATCGACGTAGTAGCAGTAGCAGTACTGCAACCCTATCTAATTTTGCTTTACTGCAGCTACGGTAGTTGATTCCGAAACGCACCCAATATAGTAAGAGCTAGACCGACGGCGATGGCTGTGTGGTTAGAGCGTGGGGTTGGTACGCGGACGACTCGGGTTCGATTTCCGGTGGCGGGACCAAAATGATTTTTTAACGCTCTAATTTTTACAGATTCATTCTCCGAGCGGGAGTCTCGCAAGGGACGACTGTACCTGGTCAAGGTTTTTCCCTCAACTGAGGTTTTTCCTTGCCCTCGGCGAATGCGGTACAAGGGGTTGGGGGGTGGGAATGGAACAAATCGAAAAAACCCGAGAGGGTATACGAAAGAACAAAAAATAGTAAGAGCTAGAATCCTACCAAATTTCAACTCCTTATCTCAATTTTTTCGAGCGTTATCGTGTCCCCATCAATTTTATTATGAAAAATGAAAAATGTCAAACACTAGGGGACTCGTAATAGTTAGCTAGACATATAGGTGCGATTCGATAGATATTACCACGAGGCATATTTTAACACCAAGAAAAGTTCATTTGATGCAGTAGTTTTCAAGATATTGAAAAAATAATTTTTTTCCTGGAATCACTGTACCTCAGAAGTTACTGGACTGATTAAGCGGAAATTTTGCCCAGATATGCTCCCAAATCATACCAATTATAAGCCAAAATTCCAGTTTCTTATCTAACCCGGTGGCTTGGCGCAGTGGGTAAGTTTGTTGCCTCACATGCGAAAGGTTCCGAGTTCAAATTCTGGCCGGGTAGAATGGTGCGATCTAAAGTCTTGATCATCATGGCAGTATACCCTAACCGGGTCGAAGCGATGTAAAATAACGATAAAAAAAAAAGATTTTTATGTATGACTTTAGTCCTTTTTTGTGAAAATTTATTTAAAAAATCCTAAAATTTTGTACGCACATGCAGACGTACACACAGACATTCTCTAAAAATATCATATCTCGACGTTTCATTACATTCTAAGTCATTTCCAAGCAAAATTAGAGAATCGAAAAATCAACCGAGTACAAAGCTTCCATTCGGAAGCAAAAACTAAAACAACGACAAAACGACAATATTTCGAAAATGTTGTATGCACGGGTATATATATATTTTTTTTTTCTATTTCATTGGTTTTATCGAAGTAATTCTCGATTTAAAACCCTTCTTCTAGTCTGCCTCCCCTCCTTTCTTTTCCTCTCATTGTTATCTGCGGTATCATGGCCGTCTTCCTCTTAGCTGTGCCTCATTCGAGCTAGGACTGCACGGGAAACCATATGTAAAACCCCAGTCGCACAGCCGACCGATTGTGCAGTGCCCTAATAAATCCATCTGTCACATTGACTAGATGGAGACACTAGGCTGCTACACCGTACCTACCGCCCGCAATTGTTGTGCGAGCGAGGTGTTCGTAAGCGGTCACCCATCCAAGTACTAACCTAGCTCAACGCTGCTTAGCTTGGATGTCCGCCGGAGCAACACGTCACCCACCTAACCATTACAGTCGGTATTAAATTGAATAAAATTTCTTTTCAATTAATTTTGTCAGATTTTCAACTTACTTGAGAGTTATCATTATCATTATTCTTATTATTCCTTTCTTCTATACAACCAATTGTCTTTTTCAGTTCTCTCTCCTCTCAGTCCTCTGATAAAATGTTATTAGAAAAATGTTATTCATGCATAATTGAATGAATTTGAAACATCACATTTGAAGAAATCATCAGAAAGCTCACTTTCAGGAAAATTCATGAAAAATTCGAAATTTTCAATAATCATCATAAAAATCAAATCAACCAATATAGTTACCGTAATCATTTTTTAACTTCGATTTAATAACATTAAATCAACCATTTTAAGATATGATTGAATTCATTTGAAGCATGATAACCAAAGATATCGTGGAAATTGTGATATTCTAAAAATATAGAATTTTTGCAAATTTTCAAATAAATCAAAATACCGATTATTGCTATCGCCTTCATTTTCCAACTCGGTCAAAAGGTCATCCAAACAATTTTTTAAAGGCATCGTTCAATCAATTCAGAAAATTTTTTTTAGTTATCGTAAGAAAAAACAATTTTTGAAGAATTAAAAGAATTTCAAAAATTGATGCATGAATTAAATTTTAGTTAATGACGACTGATGGCGCTCAACAATACCTACATTTGAGGAAAAAAAGATTCAATTCCATCGATTCATTAGCGAACAATAGAAGAAAAATTTGATTACATACGTACGCATATACATGCATACATACGTACGGACATGGTCTAAAAATTGCATTTTCGGAATTTTCGGATAATGGGTCGATATAACACGAAAAATCCAAAACTTTAATTTGAACCATTACAAGGCTTCCATTCGGAAGCAAAAACATTGAAATCGGTGTGGTAGTTTTTGCGATATTGAAGGAAAACGAAATTTAAACAAGGTGAAACAACGCGGCAAAGTTGAGCCCAATGATAGCTACAATGAGTCAAAATTTCAGATGTTTATCTACAAATTTCACCATATTTATGTTGAATTTTCGAAAAATTAACCACCAAAAACACATACATACATACAGATGACTCTAAAAACATAATTTATTCCCGTTTCATAACATTCTAGACCATTTGCAATCAAAATTAGAAAATCAAAAAATTGGTTATATACAAGGCTTCCGTTGGAAGCCGGGTATACATAGATACTTTGATTGATGTAGGTAGAGGCGGTCGAATTGAGTATTTTGAAAATTAAAATTTGAAATCGGTGCAGTAGTTTCCGAGATATTGAAGAAAAATTCAATTTAAAGAAGTTATTACACTTCTAAGGAACTAATGGATCGATCGAATTGAAACTTTGCGACAAAGTTGAACTCAATCATAACTATGATATGCCAAAATTTCAAACTTTTAATGACGAATCTTACCGTATTTGTTCTATATTTTCTAAAAATATATAATCCAAAACCTAAATTGTCACATACATACGGAAATGTTGTCAAAAAACGTCATTTTTTCACGTTTCATAACATTTCATGTCATTTCCGAGCAAAATTAAAAAATGTAGAAATCCGACCAATACAGAGATTCGATTTGGGGGCAAAAGGAAAAATAAATAATTATATAAAAAGAAGAAAATGGCTTTAGATACAAAGTTGAATATCTTATAAACGGAAATCATCCGATTCAGCCCATCTTCAATGCCAAACCTTAAAGTGGTAAGAGGAAACTTCATGCCTAATTGCAAGTTGATATGTTCATTTTTTCAAAACTCATAGAACTTACGCTTGTCTGTTATTAAGATGTCGATCTATTTTAATTGATTGACATAGAATCAAGATGAATATTTTGAAGAAAGAAAAATTAATCGGTTGGGTAGTTTTCGAGATATTGGTGAAAAACGATTTAGAAACAGATGGCGATTTCTCAAAAACGACTGGGTCAATTAGGCTGAACTTGAGCAGAGTTAGTTCTCGTTAATACCTATAATCTGACAAAGTCGCAGATCATTCAGAATTATTTGTCCTTTATTCCTTTGATTTTCTAAAAATTGGCCACCACGTGGACACATACACACTCGGCCATCAAATTTCGTATCTTTACGTTTCAGACCGTTCCACATCATTTCCGATAAAAATTGAAGAATCTAAAAATTGAACGATTTCAATGCTCCCATTCGGAAACAAAACATGAAAAAACGAGGATAACACTACATTTTTCGGGATGAGATAGTCTTTTTACGATTTATTTGAATAGGGATCATGACGAGGATTTTGAAAAAAAAAATCGTATCGGTCAAGCCCCTTGGGTTACCATCGACTAACCATAGATTGATCTGTCAAGGTATTCAATAGACCTCAACCCGTCCGATAATTCGCAGCGGTACCGTGTGAAATTTTACCCTTGTCCCTTTGATTATCCTTTCAAACTATTTTAAGTTAAAACTGAAGTTTAAACAAGCCAAAACAGATTACCGAGTAACCAGAAACGCAGGGTCTTTAACAATCTCAGTGCCCACACGTACGTGTCCCTGCTCGATTAACTGTGTGGCCATTTTTATACTTTGACTCATCTTATTCCTGACCATGACCACCGGCAGTCGTCTCCTACAAAAGCTGCTAGCTGTGATTTTCTGACACTGTGATAAATCCCATTTTGTCGCTATTAATCCCATCATGTATAATTTCTCCAGCAGCGTTGCACTGTTCTCAATCCGAAATGGATGCTCGGGGTCCACATCTTTAATTTTTAAACCTAGTTCACGGATTTCACGTGCTAGTTTGTTATATCTGTAATGAAAAACAATCAACTCGCAGGAAAAATGTAGAAGGAAATGAATGAAAATTCATTATTCATACAAACTTTACAAAAGAAATTTCGCAATCTTACAAAAACAAACATTTTGCATTTTCCTTGATACATGATAAATCAGAAGCAATCTGAAAAAATTCGCTTTGCCGAATTACTCCCAACGGAACCGCATACTCACTTTGTGTAATCCTCCCTCTTCTGTATCCTATATTTCTTCATAATTTTCACCTCATGTAAGTTATTGTCTGCTTCCCAGGATATAAAATCCACTTTTTTAAGTAGTTTCTGTTCATGATACTTCAACTTCCGCACCATTTTTCAAGATGAAAATAACGACGCGTGCCCAAACAATTAAAAAAAAAAATTTAGGTTATGTTGGAGTGTCCATGCCAGAGATTATAGGGGAGATGAGCAGGGCCAATGTAAAGTGTTCAACAGCAAAATTCGTAGCGGTGGCACATGGACTACGATGGAGCGTACGGAACTGTTGGTATGGTAGGGCCCGAGCATAAATTTGTCGATAACCGGAAAGGGGTTCTCAATACGGTAGCTCCTCGCATTTTGTAATAATTGTCAGGAATGTAAAATCGAACATATTATAATCAATAGTATAATGAATGCACAATCTAATGATCTAAAAGTCTTTTCCTTTTTCTCGACATATTTATTATTGACACGTAGGTAAAAAAATTCATAGAAAATCCCAGCGCTGTCGCTGGAAGACTCTATAGTTTTCCAGTGATTCTATTGAATAATTGTGCAGATTTTGTTTTTTCTTACTATAGTAATGTATGATTATATATATTTATTCCCCCCCTGAGTGAGCAAGGAATATGTATCGCGCTCGCTCCCACTCATTGTCGTCTCCGTCGCG